TTTTTTATTATCGACCATGAATCCGTGGCAGTTTTTCGTACGAAAAAACCTCATGAATACGAAATGAACTCAACCAATCATGCATATTATAAATCACGTGACATTACGTCATTTTCTTCATCCAAGATGGCGGGTAGTTCATGCGACGACAATCTTCTGCGAGAAAGTTTATCATATGCGGCCAACAAACTAGGCATTCCTAATGGAAAATTCAGAGAACTGCAGGAATCCGCTATTCGTAGCGTTATTGAAGCCGGCAGGGATATTTCTGTTGCATTACCTACTGGTTTTGGAAAGAGTGCAATATACCAAGCAATCCCCTTGTGCTGTGATTTTCTACGCGACCACGGATTCTAGCTTTAGTCGTTGTTTCGTTGCGGTTTCTTATATCTGATTGGTCGAACGTAACATAGGTGTACCTTATTTGGTAGGGCTGTTGAATGATTCATAGATCCGCCATTTTGAATATATATGAATATTGATTAGCTAGACCAGTGATTATGGGCGGTGAGCCGCTTCGCGACTCACGGTTCGTAGTCTCGCCGTATCAGACGTTCTGCTTAGGGTTAATCTAGCAGCAAAGAAAAAAGCTCGGCACTCCGCCTAGATTATAGGCTAGGTTAAACGTAGTTTGTACGCACAAACTCTTGTGCCAGGTCTAGCCATACGTTATATAGATGAAGGAATTGAGTCATATTATCTTATAGGATTTTATACTCATGAAGGAATAAATGAAATCGAAAAACAATGGAAAGAAGACACTCTATATTTCAAACAACAATACTAGTGGAAAATTAAAGATGAACATAAACACAACTAATTCCTAGAAATCAAACTAAGGCAATTTCAATAGCCTTGTGTGTCATCTAGTGATGTGAGAACATGACAATCACAAGTTACGTAATCCGAAAATGATTTCTACTGGGTGTACGAGTGAATATTGAAATTTTCCTCGATTTGATTTTTTTTCTCATAGAAAACGTTTTCCATAGAAATCAAACTAGTTTCCCTCGTTACATCGCATGGGGATGTGAATACCATGTCTAAGAAATCGATTTAATTGCTGTAGCGTCCTTCCGTAGAAAAAAAAAAGAAAATGCGACCCATGAGAATTCTTGCCAATCATCTTCTGAATGAGTTGCTCAGAAATAAATGAAATCGATAAAAGGGACGACCTCATTAGCTTGTTCTATGTGGATGTAAGTGAGTGAGTGTGTGCGTGTGCGTCACAGTGCGTGCGCGTGTGTATTTATGTGTGTGTGTGTGTGTGTGCGCGTGGATGTTTGTTCGCAAGCATGACTTGTGTGTGAATATGTGTGTACATGCTCTCATTGTTAAAACGGAACCGTGACTTGGTTCGTCAGTCATTTATTAGCCTGGGAAACGCAAGTCGATCTTGATATTAACGCATGTTGCGCGCACATGAGGCGTCATTTGCTTGACGCAGGGCTGCGTCGGCTGCGTCGGCTGCGTCAGCAAGTGCTGCAGTCTTTGATCTGCCATGCGAGAGTAAAAGATGGCATCGTATAAAAAAGGTTGAACACCAACCAAATGTCTTTAAATCTGCATATAAATCGAAATTAATAAATCGAAATTAGTGTCCTTCACAATCACACTGCTCCAAGGGTGTTTTTTATTTTAAAAATATAAATAATGTACATAGGAATAATAAATGCATAATGTGCAGATCAATCTAATGTTGTAATAATTGTATATTTTTTACAATTATTTAATCCTACCGTACCTTGACAAAATATGCACATGTATATTGCTTATTTATACTCCCTACATGTCTCTTTCATTTGTTGTGTGAATTACGTACCTTCCAACACATTTAATTCAAATGCGAGTCTGATAGTCCTAGAGAGGAAGAGAGAGAGAGAGAGAGAGAGAGAGAGAAAGAGAGAGACAGAGAAAGAGAGACAGATAAAAGAAATAAGGACAGCGAATGAGAGACGGAGTATGCAAGCATAGGAAATAGCTGCATGAATGTCTTTACAAGAAGCATTCCAATGCTGATGGTGTGAGTTCGAGTGGAGGCTTTGATATTAAGACCTCTACCTGGCAATTGCTCTTCTCAAAATGGGCCAAGTTGTAACATTATGAGAGGAAAAAGTGACCATAAATGGGCTAAGAGAGTCAAGTCAGATTCAGCGCGACTCACTGAGTATGGGACACGGAGAGACTTTTACTCCCACTCGAAGAAGAAGAAAAAGAAAGATGAGAATCCATTCAGTTTTTCTTGCCAACAATTTCAGCATTTAATTATCGCGTAGGTCTACAAAGTTTCTAGTTTCGGTGAATAAAACAGTCAGGGACCTGGATTCTATTTCCAGCGTAGACATTTTCAGAGCTTTGAAGTATTTTCCAAATGAAAAGCAGTATTGAGGAACGTTGAATCTATGCGTTTCGATTCTCTCATTTCCGTTATCTATTTTTCATAAAATTGGCTGCTCGGTAACTCTCTTTAAATTGAATTCTGGTAAGAATGTGACTGTTATTTGATTTAGAAAAGGCTGCCAAGTTACTTGCAGATTGTGTGTTTTTGTCAGATTTCTCTCTTAACTCTATAGATGTGGGTATATCATGTCTAAGTTATTTTGCTCCATACACCACCCACTGCTCTACAAATTTGATACTTCTGACAATGATGTTACTGACAAGTTGACTGATATCCTAGTTATCGGATCAGACCAAAAAGAGAAGGAAATTCTAAGTTGATCAGTTTCCACAAACAAATACCTTGGTAGAGCTACTGGCCAAATACCTTGGACTTGTCTGAACACCATGCTAAGTGAAGCAGTGGTTCTCGTCTCTTTGGTTAGTATACTACTTTATAATAGAATTCTAATAAGCATGTCAAGCGTGTAGCCTCGCTAAATGCCTGAACGTATTCCCCTTGACTACGCATTACTCTATAGCATAAAACAAACTGTTGGAGCGTGGTGAAACGTGCTAGAGTGTGTGATAAAAATTACATATTGTCATTGTCATTACATCCATTATACAAATAAGCATCCTTGAACACCACTTAGTGTTGTGATCGATAATTTCACATCTAATTTAGATTCATAATTGTGATAATGGACAGACACCGCTACTAGCCTTATACTCGACAAGGTTGTTATGAGAGGGGGAAGGGGGACTCACAAAGAGTGTTCTATTGGCGATACTATTACAATTTTTACAAGATTGGTTTCATGGTTTGATTTCACCTGACTGCTTAGAAAGTATAGTATGCTTGTAGGTAAGCAACCAGGGGCCCGATGGCTTTAAGTTCTCACCGAGGGACTTGGTATAATGAGGATTAATGCTTTATTAAATAGCACTATCTCTAGTGCATCCATTTGGTTTGGAACCGGAAACTTTCCGGTGAGTAGACCACTGCTCTACCACTGGGCCATCGCGTGCATTATATGCATATATTATAGTTTGTGTAAAACATGCTGATCGTTGAAATATGTACCATATTTCTTACAATAGCCGAGACCCTACCTACAATCCTCAAACTAACAATATACCTTAGCCTAACCTTAACCCTAAACCACACCCAAAAACTCAATTATGATAACATAATTCGAAATAATGTCGTCGGTCGTACGTCGGAAGATATGCCACTAGGATGGATGGATATCTCTCCCTCTCTCTCTCTCTCTCTCTCTCTCTCTCTCTCTATCTTCCTTTCTCATTCTGCAGTGATAAATCAGTCGCTTTCAATTGAAACCGGCATTTCTACTTCAAATCCTTTCGAAATTTTAATTAAAGACAAATAATTCCCTGGCTAGGCCTACTCATAGATCACATTACGATTTGAAGTCCTTCGTAAACAAATTATATCTGAAACCCCTGCATGCCAGGAATTGGAAGGAAAAAAACACATCAGCTGTGAAATTTATCCCTACACACACCACGCGGAGTGAAGCGGTGTCTGATATTTCACTTTACTGGTCCATAATCCACTCAAATATGCAAATATTAAAGTCGGTTTTTCGGACACAAAAGATGTAGGCCTAGAGTGTTAACCGGCTTGGATCGGATGATGATGTTTAAACCATTTAATTTTGCGGTTGGGTGCGAGTAAGGAAAGAACATGCAGAATACAAGAAAACATGGAACGCGGAGAGTGGTTTGATCTTATAATGAGATGGTAATAGGATTTCCAGCAATTTTCTACAGGTCTATCACCTTTCCTCTAAAAAGTTAAGCTTTAATTTGTAGGTCAGGTTCAGCAGTGGTTGTTTGTTGGTACCAGTGACTTTCGGTCATGGAGGGGCGGGGGGGCGGGGGGTGCACAGGTTTTGGTGGAATGACATGCGAGGCTTGAGTGGAGCAAACGATTGAGGGAATATCTGCATGGTTGAGAAGGGGGTCATGTTTTCTTATTCTTGTGTTTGTTGTGTCCCCCTCCCCTTCGGCCCTTCCTTTCTCCCCCTATATGATCTCCTTTTCCTCGTTTCCTCTAGTCTTCCTTTCTCCTATCTCCCTATCCCTTCCTCTTCATACCCCTCTATCTTCACCCCTCTTCCCTTCCGTATTCCTCCTCTCTCCTCATCTTCATCTAACACCCGTTTTTCTCCGTCCCCCTCTTGCCACCCTTTTCGAGGGAAATACCCCATGCACCCCTCTATTATCTACGCAACTGGTTGGTATCATCGCCTAAAGCAGGACACGTTTCATATCCGAGGAAAGATTGCAAGGTCACGCATGGAATCCTTATTTAATGTGCATGCATGCTGTAATACCATACGAAGAAATGTTAGGGATACCTCTCGAAATATGAAGTGAACATCACATTTTTGTTGACGCCAGTTTTCTGGCGTCGACATATAGAAAGCACTTATTCTAACGTAAGAGTTCTGATAAAATAGTGATATCATTTTAATCACTTATCACGAAGGGAAACAAAATTAACATAGGTTTGATATGAATCACACTTGCTTTTGTAAGTTGAGAATGAAATGGAAATGGAACTAAAATGTATTTTTCTCTTTCATTATCAGAATGTATGCTTGCCATTGGGACCGAGATCTGCCCTTAAAGATAAACCAGTTGTCTGCCACCAAAGTCTACACCAAAGGCAGTGAAGAAGTCTAGGTAAGTTTTGTTCTCTTTCTCCCTTCCATGTGTCTTCCATCCTTCTTTATGTTTTTATATCCCTCCGTTCAATCCCATTTAAAAAAAAGTCATAAACAAGAAGATCAGCGGCAAACACCAAAAGAGACCCCTACCAAAAGATATATTACAAAGGCTACGTTTAAAAAGTTTTTAAAAAATGACAATGAAACCTGCCATATAACGACCATTTAAAGTGACTAGAAGAGTGGTCTTTATTAGCAGGTTGTCACTGTACTCAATGAGAAAAAAACTGTTCAAGGGATACAAAATCGTGGTCCTCATAGATAATGGTCTTTCTATACAGGTTGTTGCTATACTAGGTTTCACTTCAATGACATTTTTGAGCGATCTGTGATATGTGTTTATACTCATCGTGCGATTTGGGTCATCTTTGTATAGAATGTTTCCTCGATTTGAAGATATAATAATATCTTCCTATCTTAAAAAATTCCGTTTTACCTATCTACGTCATGTATAAGCCCTGCATGATAATCCTCGTTTTTCATTTAATGTGAAATTCTACCGGACGATAGACATCATATTCCTGATTCTTATGAACTGAAATATCTAGAATCGAGAAACTGATAGATATGAATAACGTGTTAATATACAATATCCAAGAAATGCCCACGCATCTCAAGGGAAAGACGAAAATACATTTAACAGCGCTGAAGCTCAATTAAAGGTTTTGCTTGCTAAGTATTGGTGAAGTCGCTCACTATGAAATGACCTGGAAATCTATATACGAGAAGATACCAAAACTTGTTACATCTCTTCAGTCTTACTCGCTCAGATATGATGAAGCGGTAAGCCGTATTGGTGAAGTCGCTCACTATAAAATGACCTGGAAACCTATATACGAGAGGATACACTGTAAAAAGAAAGTTGGGCAGATATTACTGGGTAAATCGAAGTTGGGCAAATTTTGTCCGATAATTGGGTTATTTTTCTCAAAACTGTTTACTATATGAAGTAACCCAATGAAAGGTAAAAAATAGGTTGGGTAGATGTTACTTGGCAAATCGATGTTGGGCAAATGCTGTCCAATAATTGGGTTATTCCCTACCATCCATGTAGTAACCGATGAAATAATTGGGTAATGTTATTGGGGAAATTAGAGTTGGGCCATTTTGTCTAACATTTGGGTTATTTTCTCCCAACCATTAACTACATGCATTTACCCAATTAAATGTTCAAAATAAATTGGGCAGATGTAACTGGGCAAACGTAAGTCGGGCAACATTATAATGCAACAATAGGGTTATGTTCTTTTATAAGAGGTGTTTGGTCGAGTGGACATGTCACAGGACTATGGATTACGAGGTCCGCGGTTCGAGTCCCGCTGTGGCACTAATCTCCTTTTGCATATAATATTTTATTTATTTTATTTGTATGATGACGTAAAGCGCAATACGCTTCAAAAAGGTGTATTTTATAACACAGAGCTAGGTATAGAGAGCACAGTTAATATTCATTTACACGTTTACATTTTTGTTTAAACTTCATGAGCATGAAATCCAAAAATATGGATGAGGCAACCTTCTTAACCTAGATAAATTCTAAGACATTTTTCTTAGACTTAAGAAAAACGTCTCAGGAGATTACTGAACACGGGTCCAGGATACAAAATACGATTGATTGATTACTGTAATCAGTTTTTGATTTCATCTATGCAGATCATTTGTGGGTATGGCTTTAGCCGTAGTAATTTCTCTCTTCGATATATTTTGAAGGTGTATATAGAAGAAATGCAATTGATAAGAAAAGGAATAAATTCAGTACGGAAGAGTGAGAACGTCACTGCTCTACATACATATTGCACTGTCGTCAATAATGAAAATATTACAATAAAAAACATTGTATACTGCCTCATTTCCCTAATGGTTAGGAGCCCGAGCAAATATAGGAAATATATTCATTCAGATGGTCATATCTAAGCCAATACTTAACATATTCAATTGGTTTTCGACATTTGGACATTAATTTTAATGTATGAAGAAAAAATTGAGAAATTCTAAAAATAGACTTTTGATGACGTCACACTTCACCACTCTATAAGAAAAAGGATAAGGGCGTGGTTCATTCAGTTATTCATTTTCAAAACGGTTCAAAGTATTGATGTTGATGAACAAAGTTTCCACTTCATGACGAATATAAAAGTTTGTTAGTCATAAATATCGGAAACAGTACAATACTCAACAAACATTGTTCATCAGTTTTCCCTTCTCTTTCATGATTACTGAATTAATAAGTCATTTCTATAGCCGACTGTGTATGTGAATAGCTGTGTCTATAGTATCCAGAATATTATAATATATCAAACAAACGACCTTCATATTATGCGATATTGCGAAGGAGCAACAATCTGGTAAAATCTCAATTGTATTTTGATTATTATTCATTGAAATTCATTGAAAAATCCATCTATCTTTTGTTCGAATATATATACCATCAATAACTGAATAACAAATAAACAATGAAAAAAGAACGATATAATTGAATATTATGGCGTAATTTAACTAAGATGTTCTTGAAAAAAGAGCATTCTATTATGTAGCCTGGGATGAAATATGATGATCGTCATGTAAACTTTTTTTGAGAAACTTTGAAATCAAATATTATATTTTAGGTGTCAATTACTTATTGGTTTAGTTTAGATTAGCATTAAACATCATTTGTCCTATATACCTGCTATTTTTACTTACAATAAATCATAAAAAATGCGTAATTAAGCATTTTATTCGTGGAAAACATTGAATTTTCCGTCAGTCCGCATGAAGGCACACTGTCAATCATGCGTTTCAAATTGGATTGGGAGAATAAATGCAAACTTACATTCAGAGTGAAGTTCTTCAAATCATGTAAAACTCATGAAATAATATAATATTGTAACGTTCAAAATATGTATCCGTGTCTGATGTATTAAGTTGTAAATAGAAACTCTGTCTCTCCCGAGTGAGAGTAATATATCAATATAAACAAGGTTGACCATTATATTCTACGCCAATCATTGCCAATTAGGGAAAGAACTTTACAGGCTATATTCAATTCTGCCGCGTATTAGCCCGTAATCCGTATAAAAGCCTTCCGAACTAGCCCCTAATACACATTTCCTTCTTATTTAAAACGTGATTGGAAATTTGTATAGGAAATTATTAACGAATCAAGTCTTTGCGATACAGAATATGTATATTGATTGCAAATTAATTCCAAATTATTTAGTCGATTGTATTGAAAGATGAATTACGGTTGAGAAGTATTAGTAGAAGGTTTCCTTTGAAATACCATAGTGAGTGGCTATTACTCTATCCACAGATAAGCTGATCGTATTAACATCCTACCATGAAGTCTTGAAACTCTGCAAGTAAATTATTTGGGCGGTTTGTGTGTTTATTATGAACTCTGTTTATAATGTGACGGTGTATCGTAGTATATGACTTCTAAATAACCTTTGCGATTAAAACGATGTTGTAAAGAGCCCTGGATTCAATGAAACCTTAAAATAGCTTCTGATTACAATTTTTTCTATCAAGTTTATTGACATTCGCTGTCCTACATACTACCTATTTTAATCAATTATTCATGCCTTGGTGAATAAAAAAAGCAATATTAAAAGTATTAAAATATTATTTGAGTTTTCAGAGAGAGAAAAACCACAATGAAATATGAGTGCTGTGAAAACTACACATGCATGGCTGATAGAGAAAAATAGAAAAAAGAAACCCAAGCCAATCATTGTATTCAACCGATGTAGCGATACAATTAAAAGCCATGTGTATGATATTAACATGTCATGTTTATATATAGTACCCAATTTAATGAAAATGTTATGAGGGTGTTATAACTTAATTAATTTTACCCCCAGCGTCATTCATCATATAAATTAACTAACAATACAGACGTGCTACTGGTATTCGTTGTTACATCTATATTGCTTATTAGCGTGGAGTTGAAACTATAAACAGTTTGGTCTTGAAAAAAAAGGTAATTGAATATTACTTTCACAGTTTTGATTAGTTCGTGTTCCCCGACCAAGGGTATATTCATTTTCATTGCAAACGAGACATTATTGGGCGGACGAAAAACTGTATTAAGGACTAACGCGGTCTATGACCCGTGATTTGAGAGTGACAACATGTACAAAAGGTGAATTCAATTTCATCAGTGCAAGCGTTGAATTTAGTTCCCGGCGCATGCACTAATACCCTTCATAGGATTTATCGGCGTAACAAAATAATGACGCATCGTGTGCAACTCGCAATAGACATTCAAAGGTGTCAATACATTGAATCCTCTCCAAATAGGCAATGGAATCACACTTAGGGGATATCTTTTACTGTGGAAAAAATACCTTCCAATCAACGTGATCAATGATTGAAAAGCAATATCTAGCTTACCTGCGTAAGATACGAGTTACTTGATATGGGCTATGGGGAGCCACAATATATTGGTGGAATATCGAATTTGACATTTTCGTGCGAAATCAGCACCGAATTGTGAGCTACCTCCGTTATCTATATTTCCCGCTAAATACCTCAGCCACGTCAACGAGGCCGACACGGGACCGTTTACCGACCGGACAGAACACTTACCTTATCCCCACATGGCCTAGGATTGGTGAATGTAACTATCTAGTCGGTTTGGCGGTCTGGCTGAGGTATAACTTTAAAGGGACTAAGTAACATTGTTCAGATGAGAGAAAATGCTGCTGAGGTAGTGACTTCAATTCCAAATGTTCAATTTAAGATAATCTGGAAGTTTAAGTGAAAACAGACCATTATTAATGATCGAGTTGGGAAAAACTGATCTGATCGATTCCTTGATTCTCCCAACTATATTAATATTTTCGTTGAAAAACGGTTGGGAAAATTGGTTTGGAGAATTTACTGTTAGAGGGTGTTACACAGTGACGCCTTCAAAGAAAACCATAAATATCTTTGTTTGAGAACTTCTTCAGAATTTTTTGTATGTCAGAGTTT